TGAGATAGACTTAAACTGAAACGGGGGTTTTATGACCCTTAAAATCTTTTGTATTCTCTATTGGATTCAAGTTAGGTGATTGGCTGGGCCATTCTACAGCTTGATTTTCTTTCTCTGAAAGCATTTGAGAGTTTCCTTGGCTGTTTTGAATCATTGTCTTGCTGAAATGTCCACCCTTGTTCTATCTTCATCATCATGCTAGATGTTGGACTGTAGCAGTGAATATTAACTTATACTGACGAAACGCAGAGGGTTGCTGAAGAACTACTGAGAGATTTCAGCTGCTGTCTGGGATTTCACTGCCGTTCTACACCTCCCTTTCTTCATGTGTTCAATATTTTTCCTTTGTTATTTCATTTTATTACACATAACTTCATTTGTAAACTAATTAGGTTTGTTTTCCTTGCATACGTGAATTTCTTTCGTTGTTTTATAACATCCAGTGAAAATTTCAAGTCGACAGCACCTTTAGAAATATGATTTCTGAGAAAAATAGTGACGTATTCAATATTTTTCCCCCACTGTATCTTACATTTGAATTCATTCAGGTGATCTAAAGTCACTTTTGATCCATTTACTGAATAAAATTGCAGCTACATTCACAAAAAATATTATATAGAATAATACATAACTCACAGTCAAGCATGTAACATGTGTATACTCACTACACTAAGAGTGCTGACGTTGTACTCTTTAGTTATCCTCTGCCGCTCTCGCTCCTGGAGAATGACTGAATATTCAGCATGTTTGGCTGGATACTCTTTAATCATTAAATCGATAACTTCATCACTGCGCAGAGCTGTGAGACCTGTGGAAAAATTCAACTTCAGTTTAGTCTTGGACTGTAAAAAATCCTGGGTTCCACACAATTATTTCATGTCGTCCCATTAAGTTAACAATACAAATTTAAGTAGATTGAACATAAAACAAGTAAGTAAAAAAACCTCCAGAATTGTGTTGTTTCAGCTCATTCTAAATAAGTAGGCTGAACAAGAAGCAAAACTATGATTATGAACATCTTACCCAATGTACACTGTGTTTCAGTAATGACATTCTGCTCTCTCAGATAAAGTTTTTCCTTGTGAGACAGGTCTCTTCTTTCCATTTCTAGTACATGAAGTGGAATAGAATGAAAAAAAGACATGTTTACACCACACAACAAATCTTCTCTTCATAATTTAATCTGGAAATGAAACCCATTTGACCAAGCACATACAAATTCCTCAGTGCAATTTCACTCATACCTGGGTATTTGCGCTTGAATGACGTGACTCCCAAGTACTCGCTCACTTGTTCTTGTAACATATAATACTCTCCCGTGTCATCCGGAGGCCATTTGTATTCTGTCAGGTTTTCAGCAGGGAAGTATGTTGGTCTGTAATGAAACAGCAAAGGTCAAAACACACACATACAATCACATACACACATTCTCAGTCCAGAATTGCATGTGCAATATAAGAATTTTCCATTATTTTTCCTTAAAGTGCAATAAAAAACGTATACAACAAAAACAAATCATGTATCATTTATGATAAACCAATTATACTATTAATGTAAACTATTGCAAAATGCTTAAATGTTATGGGAAAACTAATTATTTAAGTTATTATTATTTTAAACTAGGACTGCACAATACATAATTTCAGCATCGCTTTCGCAATGTGTGAATATGACTATTGCAAATCGCAGGATAGTCAAGAGATTTCAAGTTGAGGTTTCATTTAAACCATTTGGAAACAAGAAAACGTTTTCAGCTTTGACTATTAGATTAGACTATATCTAGATTAGATATAAACAAATGCTATTTTAAGGAAGATAATGAAACCATATTGGTATATAGAGATAAATAATCATTTGTAAAAAAAAATGTATTGAGATGGAAAGTTGGTGATTGGATGGGTGTTAGCCCTATTGGGTAGCTTTACATGGACATAGAAAATGTTTAATTTGTTAAAAAAGATTTAAGAGCTACAGCACAATACTTCAGTGAATTTAAGACTTTTTAAGACCTAAAATGTTGTTTTTGAAATTAAAGAGATTGTAAGTCTTTTTAAACCCTACAGATACCCCGGCTGTGTGCCACACTTTTTTGCGTTTCTTTGTGTTTCTGATGAGATTACGTCAAACATTGAATATAAATGCTTATTTCAGAGCACTTCACAAGACGTTTAAGTTAATATTCTTAAGATAAAATGTCTCTAAACAGAAACACAAGTGAGGAATTTCAGCCTTATGGGGGTGACATTTGCAGGAAAATTTAAGCTTAAATTCACAGAGAATATACATCATAACAGTATATCAAAACATCTTTTTCAAAACAACTATCCACAGAGTTAAGAGATTAAAATATCAAACTGTAAGCTTACATTTACATTTAGTCATTTAGCAGACGCTTTTATCCAAAGCGATTTACAAATGAGGACAAGGAAGCAATTTACACAACTATAAGAGCAACAATGAATAAGTAAGTCTGTAAAGTCTAAGAAGGAAAGTATTAGTAAAGTTTTTTTTTTTTTTTTTTGAGTACAGTTAGTGGTATATCCAGAGAGGCAATTGCAGATTAGGAAGTAAAGTGGAGACTAAATAGTTGAGTTTTTACTCGTTTTTTGAAAACAGCGAGTGACTCTGCCGTTCTGATGCAGTTAGGGAGTTCATTCCACCAACTGGGCAGATTGAATGCGAGAGTTCGGGAAAGTGATTTCTTCCCTCTTTGGGATGGAACCATGAGGCGACGTTCATTCACAGAACGCAAGTTTCTGGAGGGCACATAGATCTGCAGAAGTGAGAGCAGATAAGAAGGAGCAAAGCCAGAAATCGCTTTGTAAGCAAACATCAGAGCTTTGAATTTGATGCGAGCAGCAACTGGCAGCCAGTGCAAACGGATGAGCAGCGGAGTGACATGTGCTCTTTTAGGTTCATTAAAGACCACTCATGCTGCTGCGTTCTGGAGCAGCTGAAGAGGCTTGATAGAGTCAGCTAGAAGCCCCGCTAATAGAGAGTTGCAGTAATCCAGTTTGGAGAGAACAAGAGCTTGAATAAGGAGTTGAGCTGCATGTTCAGATAGGAAGAGTCGGATCTTTCTGATGTTATAGAGTGCGAATCTGCACGATCGAGCAGTTCTAGAAATGGGGTCAGAGAAGTTTAGTTGGTCCTCAATCGTTACTCCAATGCTTTTCACCATTTTGGATGCAGTAATGGTTGCCCCATCCATCTGGATTGAAAAGTTATGGTGTAGAGTCGGGTTGGCAGAAAGCTATTTTATACTTTAAATGTGAAAAATAAACATGCGCTATAGATGCAATATTGAAAACAATAAACAAAAAATACTGTTTGAATTTTACATTTTACAGACATTTTGTGTATTTGTACAGTACTGAAAGGTCTTCACTAATTTGGCGTAAACCTAATCTCTGCATGGAATTGCTAAAATCCTAAATATATCATATTATATTAAATAAGTTCACTTTTGAGAGAACGTCTATTTACATAAATTATTTTGAAGGGAATTTACAGACCAGTGTCAGAAAAAAAACACCTGTAACTGGTGTGTGTGTGTGTGTGTGTGTGTGTGTGTGTGTATTGTGCTGACCCGAGCTCATGGGTGGAAGTGTCACAGCTCCTGGAACTGTCTCCTGAGCCCATCCTGCGCCTCTTGGGGGCTTGACTCCCATCACTGGAGTTCTCCTCAATGTCATCCTGTTTGAAGAGAAAGTCTGTCACATAGATTTCTGTATTCGCAGGCTAACATTAAATAAATTGAGGTCAAGTTTAATATTCGCACATTTGTTCAGTGGCTAATTTTGACATGCACCACAGTGTATCCATATTCTGATGGCTACTTCCAGCAGGATGACGTGCCATGTCATAAAGTGTGAATCACCTCAGACTAACACGACAATGAGTGCACTGTACTCAAATGGCCTCCACAGACACCATATCTAAATCCAACAGAGCACCTTTGGGATGTGGTGGAACGGGAAATTCACATCATGGATAAGCAGCTGACAAATGTGCAGCAACTGTGTGATGCTATCATGTCAACATTAACTAAAATTTCTGAGGAATATTTCCAGTACCTTGTTGAATTTATGCCACGAAGGATTAAGGCAGTTCTGAAGGCATAAGGGGGTCCAACCAGGTACAAATAAGGTGTACCTAATAAAGTGGCCAGTGATTGTTTATACCATGCCAATAAACTAAAAACGACTGTTCAAAACCATCTAGATAAGTCATTGCGGGTCCACTTTTCTGTGTTAATCAATTTACGAAATATTACTCGAAATGCATGGCCTGTTCAGCTACCTCGGCTAACGTTAACAGGCTAATGGTAAACAAACAAAGGCGAATGTACGTCACACTCACGCTGAAACTGTACAGGTGTAAGTACAGTTTTACATTGCTAGAGTGATATATCTGCAGCTTCTGCTAAGAAAAAGTAGTAAGTAAACATCACAAACCTTTATAGACTGGGTCCCAGGAGTTGCAGGATTGCTATCGCACGGTCTCGGCGATAGAACAGCTGCCATGTTGTTATTCTGCGAATGAAAGGGCGTCACATTCCGGCTGGAAACTAGCACAATGGGAACGCGACAAAGTGTTCCTATCTCTAAAAACAAAAAATTGAAAACTAAATATTATTTAATTGCACGTCTATTTTGGTAACTTTTTGGGACAAGGTTTATTTTAATTACAAACTATTTAAAATGTTTTACATTTATTTTAAAATTATGTTTTGTATTAAATTTAAAAATTTATTATTTTTATTATTTTTATTTTTAATTAATTGATAAGACATTTTAAATGTTTTTTTATTTAATAAAATTTGTCAATTATAAAAAAAAAACAGCGTAGGAGGCGGGGCTTGTGTAAAAAAAACAGGCTTGTCTTCTCGCGCAACTGTCTGGAACAGGAAGTGAAACCCTGCGCTGCTGTTTGAGTGCTAGAAGCACTTTGTTGAGAAAGTTCGGCTTCCTCTGACGGCTCCTCTGGGTCTCTGAAAGATGGACAGCCAAGGAAGAAAAGTGGTGGTTTGTGATAACGGAACAGGGGTACGTCCGCAACGCTAACACGCGACGTTTGTCTTGTCGAGCTTTTATTTCGAGTGACATGATAATAAGACCGATAGACCCCTAACAGGAAGTCATGAAAGCTTAGCGCAGCTATAAAGAATGTCTGACAGCTGCTTTCTCTGCTGTGTTATCTGACTGTGGCTTTATTTCTCTGCTTTATATCCAGCTTTCATTCTGCAGCAGACTCGATATCTCATATTCTTTCGTTAGGAGAGAATCGTAGCATGGCGTTGGTTGAATTAACTGCAAATGTCGCTTCATAATACAATAATAACAACACATTGACACAAATAATCGAATTAACTGCATGACCAAACCTTCAGAGCTCATTCTTGCAGCGATATGCTAGCAGCTTTCTTGCATAACATATTATTAATATGAATTTTGCGTTGCTATGGTTACATGCCATTCCCCATTCACTGTGAATGTTGCTGCCACTTGCTTTCAAACTATTTTTGCATATTACAAGCTATGGGTGATGGCACTTCCTCATCTCTCGGTTTCAGTGGATAGGAGCTGCACTAATGTTCAGTGATGCTCAATCCTGGTTAATCATTCAATACATTCTTTGCACATTAGAATAATGCTGATATAGTGAGCTCTGGAATTTCGCTGGTTTTGTCCTGACATCACAATTTTGGCGACGTCAGCATGTTTGAAGCTCAACTCGAGGTAGAAGAAGAAGTAATGTGAATGTTTTAATAATGTATTTTTAGTAAACAAACCAAGTCAGTGAAACAGAGAAGCATGAGTCAGAAGGAAGTGATGTCAAAACCACAGCCTGAAAGCATTTCTCTACATGTCGAATGACCAATGAACGAGCGTGAAAGCCTCCAGACCATTTTTGGAATAGTGTTAAGATGAGAAACAAGACATTACAGTTTTTTTTTATTCAAAGATCTGTTATAAACGATTCACACGAGCTGGAAGAAACAAGCGACTTAACTTCTTTCTTAATGTTCAGGAAGGTTTATTATCATTAGAAGTTTTGAGTAAAAAACTATTGTTCAGTGTCTTAAAGGGAAAGTCAACACAAAATGACCATCCCTTTTAAAAAGGTGTTTTAAAAAGTTTATTTTCTTCTGTTGAACACAAAGAAGACTAAGAATGATGGAAAAAACAACCATTCACTTTCATAGTATTGTATTTTTGATCCTACTACTATGGATGTCAATGACTGTTTTTTTTTTCAGCATTCTTCAGACTCCTTGTGTCTTGATTTGTGTTCAGTAGAAGAAAGACATTTGTTGAAGTTTAGAACCACTGGACTATAAGTACGATTTGTTTCTATTTTTATTTTGGGTGAACTATTTCTTTGAACAAAATGAGGGCTGTTCTCATGATCCTGGTCTGGAAAGTTGCTGGCAATTTTGCAGAAAAGGTTAAATGTGTGAAAGGGCTGATAGTAGTCGTCTAGTAGTACACTGGTCAATCACTTTATTTTCATAGATTTCTTCTTGCAGAATGTCTGATGAGCCTGGATTAAAACAAAAAGCTATGTAAGAGTCTGTGATGACGGATCATGCATAAACTTACAAAAACAATTGCATATAATTGCCATTTTACACTGTAAAAAATGCTGGGTTCCTTTAAACTTATTTTTTTTTTTACAACTTTAAAGGGCCATGAAACCCCCTCGTTTCAGCAGGGTGTTTTCACACCTCTACTTTAGAAAAAGTCAGAAAAGTGGGCGTGTCCAGCTCTGTTTAGGGGGGAGTGTCGGAGGAACTAAAGTGGGATGGTGTGAGAGTGTCTATTTTGGTATGCGCGAGTTTCAGAGTCAAAACACACACACACAGGGGAGAAAGTGACTGTGTTTACATGGACATCTGTAGTCAAATTATTTGCCAAATTATTAAATGCTGGACTTTAACTGCAGTTTGGCTCTTTCATTCAGGGAATTCATTCATGCCCCTCGCGACAAACGAGATATTTGATTCGAGGAACTGCTCTAAGCGTGTATTTTTCATGCAGTGTTTGATACCGCACGGCGAATGAGAGAAAAAAAAACTCAGCATTTCCCGGAAACTTAGATGAACACGGCAGGTAGCGTCAGAAAGCCGCGTGTGTTATTCCGGTCACAAAATGCGGTGAAAACCCTACACGAGGTTAAAGTTTGGTTGTGGTGCTAACGTGTTTACACTCGGCGCAATAGTTCGATACGAACAAACTGAATAAACAAAGAGCACTGGTCGCTCACTTACCAAATCTGTAGAGACAGGACAATCACCAGCAACTAGAGCTGCGTCTTTATTAAGAGGAAACTACAAGCGAATCCAGATCTCAGCGTTTGCAGATGAGAACTGCTCTCAGGTAAACAATGTTCCTCCTTAGACACGCAAGTTATTGTTGTCGAGCGTCGCGTACACTGGTAATCCACACGCGAGTCTGAGCTCTCACAGAGAGAAAATAAAAACAAAACTTAACTGCAGCAAACTATAAAAGCTACACTTCACGCTTGTTTTGCCAGCACAACGTGGCGTCTCTGTCGTCTAAACACTGTGACATTAATGAATATTAATGAAGTTGCACAATAGAGCGCGCTGATTGGTTTGAACCAAGCTTTACTCATGCATTAATGCAGCACACTCTGAGACGTAATAAGACACACTCTGGCACAGATGTCCAGTCTGCACGCTGGAATACAGGCTATTATGTCATGACCGTGACGCAGCTTCAAAAATTTGTTTCAAACCGGAAGTACGAATTTGCTTGAAATAATGCAAAAATAACCAATTTACACTTTTTAGTGAAATATAGGTGTCCTAATAGTGTTTTTAGCAGTGTGGGACACATATACGACTATTAACAGCTCAAAAAATGTGTTTTGGTGTTTCGTGACCCTTTAAATTGATTGAACAAAACAATTAAGATGTCCCATAAAAAAAAAATAAAAAAACTTCAAGAATTGTGTTGTTTTAGCTAGTTTTGTATGTATAAATGCAACAATGCAATTATTTGGAGCTCTTTTAAATATAGAAAATACTAAGAGAGTATATTGCACATTAAAATGACGTCATTATTTATTATTTTAAATTCTGCAGTTGGATTAGAGCTGAACAAAATATATTGCAATTTAAAAAAAAAAATATTATTATTATTATTTATTTTTTATATATTTTTTTGCTACAGGATCTGCAATGTTGAGTCTGCAATGTACAGTATGTTTCATGCAGTGGATGCTCTTCCAGTCTTAACCCAGTACTGGGAAACACCCATACACTTTGGCATTCACACACACACACACACTCATGCACTAAGGCCAATTTAGATCATCCAGTTCACCCATGCCACATGTGGGGTAAACCGGAGCACCCGGAGGAAGTCCATGACAACACGCGGAGAACATGCAAACTCCACACAGAAATGCCAACTGACCCAGCCGGGACTCAAACCAGCAACATTCTTGCTGTGAGGTGACAGTGTTAACCACTGAGCCACTGTGCTCCTCCTAAAGTACTTTTATATGCATAGGACTACAGAGGTTTTTGCAGACTGGAAAGCAGCAAAGCTCTGCTGCTTTCCTGCCGAGTCACACTCATCTCTCATCAGCATTTGCTTCAGTGTTTGACTGCTTTCAACCTTACTCTACAGCAACTCGCATGATTCTACACCCAGTCATGCAGTCATCAAACTACACTTTTGTTTGTTGTGAATACACGCCATCTAGTGGTGAATTTCATTTTTGTTCATTTAATTTTTTTATTTGAAAACAAAGGTATAATATATGGTTGTTTGTTGTTCAAAAAGTCACCTAAAAACCACAACTCAAATTATAGTGTAGATTATAAATATTAATAATGTAGTCATACATGTACTTTTATTTTGCTGGATGATCACAGTATTCATCACAAAATGTTCTGTCTTTCTCTCTCTTATTCCATCAGTTTGTGAAATGTGGCTACGCTGGGTCCAACTTCCCAGAGCACATCTTCCCGGCACTGGTGGGCCGACCTATCATCCGATCCACAGCTAAAGTGGGCAACATTGAGATTAAGGTGAGCTCCACATTCACACTCTGCCAGGTCACATAATTAACATGGCGTTTGTTTGTTTTTTTTAAATAATGTCAGAGATTTCTGTGCTTTTATGCCTTTGTTTACTGTTGAAGACAAATTTATGAGCCCTCCTGTGAAATTTGAATTCTTTTTCAAATATTTCCCAAGTGATCTTTTACATTTTTCACAGTATCTCCTTTTATATTTTTCTTCTGAAGAAAGTTGTATTTCATTTGCTTTGGCTGAATAAAAAAAATAAATAATAAAAACATTTTAAAAAATGTATACATAAGGTTAATATTATAAGTATTGCTGGGCAACGATACATTTTTCAAATTGTGAATATTCACAAGGTTATATGTGATTAATCACATTATGCACAAAAATCAATAGTGATTTCAAAAGAAGTGTACTTTTATTTTAAAAGTACCGAGTAAGTGTATGAACAAGTACAAAAACATAACAGTCCCATAACATTTTACAGTTAAAATTTTTATTTTAATTATTTATTTATTTATTTATTTATTTATTTATTTATTTATTTATTTATTTATTTATAGCAGTTTGGAAGTGTTTTAAACTGAAAATTTGCATTTAAGAGTTTACCATTTTGATCCATAATTTTTGTACCATCCTGTTCATATCATGGCAGCAGCGACTGTCCTAGCCCCGCCGCAAATGTTTTCATTGGTTGAGAAGTGAGATGATGCCTTTCTCAAGCCAATACTAAACAATCACCCTACCGCTTGTGACCTATGGCTTCCCAGTATGTGTAGAGCCAGTGTTTTAACATAGTTTGAAAATATTATATACTAAAAAACAGCTGCCTTAACATTTGATAAAATAATAATTAATTATATTAATAAGTTAACGCAAAACATAAAAAATCCATTTGGTTGCAGAACAAACCACTGTTGTCCAATGATTAATTAATGGAACTTGCCTGGTTAACCTAATTAACCTGGTTAAGCCTTCAAATTACTCTAGTATCTTGCAAAATATCCAGTAAAATATTTTGTACTGTCATCATGGCAAAGACAAAATTATTTAGTTATTAGAAAAAGAGGTATTAAAATCATTATGTTTAATTTAACAAATGTGTTGAAATGTTTCTCTCTATTAAACAGCACTTAAGATGGATGGATGGATGGATGGATGGATGTGGATGGGTGGATAGATAGATAGATAGATAGATAGATAGATAGATAGATAGATAGATAGATAGATTGATTGATTGATTGATTGATTGATTGATTGATTGATTGATTGATTAATTGATTGATTCAGTCATTCTCAGGAGGGCAAATAGTTTTGTCTTCAACAGTAGGAACTACTTTTAAAATTTAATTTGCTTTGTTATTTGAAAGAAAGTCTTTAACGTCTCCTATTTGAATTTCTTGTCATATTTACGCTCTTTTTCTTCTGGTTCTTCACATGGTGAAGTAGAATAACAAAAAGATGGTAAGTGCAGTCTGCGTGCGCTGTGTTTAACACTTACCGCCTGCTGAGGAGATTGTGTTGCACCTTGCCGTATTTCAGGCGTGTTCATATAGTTGCCTGTCTTTAGGGTTTTTTAGTTCTTTTATTTGTTTTGTAAAATCTCTAATGCCTTATAACCATGGCTGGGTGATTTAGCAAAACATTTATTCAATCATTTTCCTTCAGCTTAGTCCCTTATTTATCAGGGGTCACCACAGTGGAATGAACAAAAGAAAACAAACAAATCAGAAACTTCAACATGCTTCTAAAGTAGCTTATCTAAATGTAATTGTGACTCACATGTAGCAGAATTCTCTTCCTCCATGGAGCAAATGTTTAATTAATTGCTTTTATTTAATTGTTTTTTTCAAATGACTGAAATAGTTGTACCATCATGTTACCAATTGCTAATTTGAAATGTATTTTTATTTTATAAAAAGAGAATTCACCTTCACTTTTTTATTTGATTTAGGTTATTTGAGAATTATTTCATTTGGAGAAGCACTATTTTATATCAATACATTTATAATTTTAGTTTAACCAAGCAGTTTATTATTATTATTATTTTTTTTTATTATTATTTTTTTTTATTATTTATCATTTGCATTGATACAACCATATGATAGTAATTTTATAATGACTATAAATAATTTATAAAGTGTTTATAGGTGTTTCCCAGTACTGGGTTGCGACTGGAAGGGCACGCGCTGCATAAAACATATGTTAGAATAGTTGGCAGCTCATTCCTCTGTGGTGACCTCTGAAATAGAAAATAGAGAAAGTGACCTCTGAAATAGAGAGTATATATATATATAAATATACTGCAAGTTAAAATGTTGGCGATGAGGTCTTAATGTATGGGCAGAGTCTTTAAAAAGGTCTTAAAATGTTTCGAATTTCATTCTGATTCCTGTATACACCCTGATACTCATATATATATATATATATATATATATATATATATATATATATATATATATATATATATATATATATATATATATATATATATATATATATGTATATATAATTCAAAAGTCAAAATTATTAGCTCCCTTTTGAATTTTATGAATTTTATGTTTTTTTTTTTTTTCAATGTTTCCTAAATGATGTTTAACGGAGCAAGAAAATTTTCACAGTTGTCTGATAATATTTTTTCTTTTGAAGAAAGTCTTATTTGCTTTATTTTGGCTAGAATTAAAGTAGTTTTTCATTTTTTTAAACACCATTTTAAGGTCAAAATTATTAGCCCCTTTAAGCTATTTTTTTTGATAGCCTACAGAACAAACCATCATTATACAATACTTTGCCTAATTACCATAACCTGCCTAGTTAACCTAATTAACTTGGTTAAACCTTTAAATGTCACTATAAGCTATATAGAAGTGTCTTAAAAATATCTAATCAAATATTATTTACTGTCATCAAGGCAAAGATAAACTAAATCAATTATTTGAAATGAGTTAATAAAACTATTATGTTTAGAAATGTGCTGAAAAAAAATCCTCTCTCCGTTAAACAGAAATTGGGGAAAAAATAAACAGGGGGGCTAATAATTCTGACTTAAACTGTATTTTGCAATCACCAATAAAATGAAACAACCGTCTCTTGAATTTAGTTCTTAGCTAATGCGCATGCGCACTTGAAAGGAACAAGATCATGAGGCCAACCTCCTTTTGTTCCTTTATTATTATGCTGTGTTTACACCAGACTTGCAAGAAGCGTCAAGAGCGAGTGATTTACATGTTAAGTCAATGCAAAGACACTAATAGACATCCTGCTGCGCGATAACCGCAAATGAGGGGGCACGAATGACGTGATTCGTGCGAATAAAGTGGTGCAAGTTGAGCGTTTTGCATAATTGATGCGCTTAACGTGCAAGTTTAAAAATCTGAACATCAGCGGACATTCGCGCCACGTTAACCAATCAGGAGCTTGCTCTTGTAGGGGTGTGATTATGCTTAGAAATGTGTTGAAAAAAATCCTCTCTCCGTTAAACACAAATTGAGGAAAAATAAACAGGATGGCTAATAAATCAGGGGGTCATATACATATATATGCATATAGCCACATTGAAAAGTGTATCAAGTCTGTTCATTAACAGTATCAAACTAAATCAAACAGATAAAATATAACAGTTTCCATTAATAACGTTATCACCCAGCCCTAAGTCTAACCTTAGTTTATTTTTTTTGTCTGTTTCTGTCTTAATTTATCTATCAAGGAGAATGATTTTGAGGTTTTATTTACTAATACGTATTTTACTATTATGTTTATTAGTTTTTTGTGTGCCTAATTTCAATTTTTATTCCAAAATTAGCCACAGAGCGATGCTCAAAGTGCTCTTACCCTGCACTTTCTCTTCTGTTTCAAAGTTGCAAATGTCTTTCACAGAACCTGGCAACCCTTCAGATCCCCACCAGACATTATAGCCTAATTTCCTTCTCCTCCTCCGGTCCGCAAATAGATTTAGCAGAAGTCTGCTTTAAGATGGAGGGAAATGTTGATGCCTCTGCACTTTGTGGAACTGCCCATCATCCTTTCTGTCTGTTCAATGTCCTCGGGCCTCTACAAATGATGTTTAAGGAACTAGACGAAAACCAAGAAGCTTTAAATAGGTTCTGATGTGTCAGTAGCAGCGTTCACAAGATATTTCTTTTCACATGCAGAACACTTCACTAAATATCCCTTCAGCTCAGATAAACAAAATGTTTCTGTGCCCAGGAAGTTGCTCAGACAGATGAAATTTGAAGACAGCAGGGCTCCATTGAAAACACATGGCATTACCAGACACGTCCTGTACTCCTGTACTGGTGCCAAAGAACACACAGTACTTGTGCAGACCATGATAATCCATACAATTAGCTTGCAGTGCTTCATCCAAGGCCTTGATGTTTATTAGAGGTGTTTGCTAAGCCATTTCGCAATTATAAGTGTAAACAAAAGGCTGCATTACATTATACTTAGCTATACCTCAGATTTATGCCCCGGTTTTATAGTATCTGGATGCAGACTTGCATTTGCAAGCTGAGACTGCATATCTTAGACTTGCAATGTCAGACACATCGGAGCTAGTGACGGCATTGTGAGGGGTAGGGTTAGGGGTTAAAAGCATTGCATGCAGCTCACCTTGCACCTGCACCAAATCTGCATCCAGACCCCTCTCCCCCAGTTTGCTAGCTGGTCCAGTCAACAAAAGATGCTGAAGTCAGAATGCATTTGAGTTGTGTTTTTTGCCTTGCTTTCAGTTGTTCAGTTGTGTTGCATTCAGTAGAGGTTAATTACCTTGCGTTCAGTTGAGTTCCGTTCGGTCGAGTTGCATTTGGTCGAGTTGCGTTCGGACGAGTTGTGGTCGGTTGAGTTGCGGTCGGTCGAGATACGGTCGGTTGAGTTGCGTTCGGTAGAGCTGCGTTCGTTGAAGCTGCATTTGGTCGGGTTACATTCGGTCAGGTTACGTTTGGTCGGGTTGTGTTCGATCGGGTTGGGTTCTGTTGTGTTGCATTCAATTGAGTTAGATTTGGTTGAAGTTGCGTTGCGTTTAGTTCTGTTGCATTCAGTTGCATTCAGTTGCTTTGCGTTGGGTTTAGTTGTATTGTTTTGAGTTGCATTATTGCGTTCAGTCCGGTTGCATTGAGACGCATTGCGTTCAGTTGCTTTGCGTTCAGTTACATTCAGTTACATTCAGTTGCGTTGTGTTCAGTTGCTTTGCGTTGAGTTGCGTTGCATTTTGTTCAGTTGTGTTCATTTACGATGAGTTGAGTTCAGTTGCATTGCATTGCGTTCAGTTGCATTGCATTACATTGTGTTTTGTTGTGTTAAGTTGAGTTATACTTTGTCTTTTTCAGAAAATGTATCTTGGACTCTTCCCCCAATGGCAGTACTTCATACATTGGACAAAAACATGATTTAGTTCATTTGCTATTACTTGAGCATTCCTGGAGTGATGTATACTCTCTTACATCAATCACTTTTGTGGCAACTTTAACATGATGTGCAAGTTGTGTTTTTGATTGAACTAAATAACCATACCAAGCCTGCATACCATAATTTTGTAAAAACTTCCCAAAACTGCTTTATAAAACAGCAACATAACGTTTTTGCTTACTCCAATCAGTCTGAGTATACTTAAAAATACATAGTCTTTGTTGGAACTTTGAGCAGATTAAGTCAGTGTGGGCTTTCCAAGTGAGTCTACGGTCAATGACCCACACTTTTTCGATAATATTACCATGGATAAATACTTGACTGCAATCACCCAGTCTTTTCGGGTCCACTATCACTTCCTTTTTTTCCACATTTGTTTTTTTCCACAGAGGTAACCTTGAAAAAGTAGTGTCTAATTGGTGAAAATTGGCACATTTGGCCCAATATAAAAGGTTAGAATGTGCAGTATCCCAAATCATTGTATGTTAAAATGAGTTTGCCTAAGATGTTTGTCTGATTTACTTTTTACACTAAAGTTGCAGTGAATTTCTTTCTTTTGTTGAACACTAAACAAGGTATTCTGAAGAATGTGAAAATTAAAAAGCAGTCATTGACATCTATAGTAGGAACAAAAAAATATGGATATCATTGGCTGCTTTTTTTCCAACCTTTTTCAGTACATCGTCCTTTGTTTTCAACAGAAACTCAAACAGGTTTGGAACAAGTGAAGGATTAAATGAAAATGATGAAAGATGACAATTTTTTTGGGTGAAATCAATTCCAAACAAAGGTTGTGAAGGTTCATCTAGAGAAGCTTTTGAATGAAAAAAGACTAACATATGCATGAAGATCTGCTGTTGTGCATGCTGGTTTTAGCAAATGAATGCAACATCTGTCCGTATGTCCATCTCACCTCAGCAGCCGTGTTTACTAGGGCTGCATGATACTGGGAAATCGATATTTCTTGCGATATAACATTTTCCTATAATAAAGCAATTCAAAAAACAAACAATTTATGTAATGATCACGCTAAAATAAACTAGGGATGTTCTAATTCCCTTTTTCCTTTCTCGATACCTATTCTGATACCAGAGCTCAGGTTATCAGCCGATACTGAGTACTGAACCGATACCTGAGCTCAGGGTATTGGCTGATACTGAATAATGAACGATACCTGAGCTTAGGGTATTGGCTGATACAGAGTAATGAACCGATACCTGACCTCAAGAGTGTCGGCCAAAACTAATTACTGAACTAATACTGAGCTCAGATAGTTGGTCGATACCAAGTAATGAACCAATACCTAAGCTCAGGGTATCTGCCGATACAGAGTAATGACCCGATACCTGGGCTCAGGTTATCGGCCAATACAAAGTACTGACCCGATACTGAGCTCAGGGTATCGGCCGATACAGAGTACTGAACTGATACCTGAGCTCAGTGTGTCAGCTGACACAGAGTACTGAACCGATAGCTGAGTGTGTATCTGTGGAAACAGTTGTGTATACTACTTGTCCTGTATAAAACTGTGAACATGCAAATAATTAGATACTGGAAATAAATGGAAATTATTGGTTATTGTCATTTCTCATCTCTTATTAGTGTTTGTTTTCAGCTTAAGGTTCATCTTCTAACCAATAGCAGTACAGCTCCTTCTGAGTTGGCGGGTATAAAGATTTTCAGCTTTGGCCCAGACTTTCATTTTAGTTCATCCCTCAAAAAACGTTATTTTTTGCACCTCTCTTCACTATGGATACCGAGCTTACTAATATCGCGATAACAATAATTTTCCGATATATTGTGCAGCCCTAGTGTTTGGTGTGCTTAAGCTCTTTCTATGAGCTGTTACAGAGGCTTCCTTGTGCCTCGTACTGTAACCCTGCACACAATGTGTATCGGCTGTGGTAAATCTATGGAGTTCTATTTGTGCCACAATTCTGTGTGCAAAAAAATCATGATTTTAATGCTAAAAATGGATTGTTGTATGCGTCAAGCATTTTTCGTGCAAAACATAATGAGTGCACAAAATTACTTGTTGCGCATACATATACAATTTTGCGTGCAAGAGATTATGTTTTGAGCCTGCAAAATGGCTTGTTCCACGGACGTTAACTCAGTTTTGAGGTTTTGTTGTCCCTTTTGTGCGCATGCAACATCAGCCGACTTGCTTGCTCAACAAAAACCAAGATACAATATGACAGGAATTCAGCCAATCAGATGCTTGCGAAATTCTGATTGACAACCAATCACAACATTCCTTGCATTACAGATGACTGCTGAAGAGGATTACAAGACACATTGTAAATAATTCATTTTAAAGGTCGAATGTCTACCACTCGATAGACGTTAGTAATTGACTATACCTGGACTTTTTAATAATTTGCTATTTTGTGTATTGCTAGTGTTTTTAGTCATTTATTATTGTTGGTGCTTTCTCTTAATTTTGGTTAGTTATTCATTTCCTTTTCGTATTTTAACTTTTATTAAAGTTAATTAAAGTGATTTAGTGCGCTAAAACATGATCTTTTGCTCACAGAATTGTGGTGCAAATAATTGCTTTTAAATCTGAGATTCTTGGTGCCATGCATCTGTTGTGGAAATACCATGCCACATTGAATTTGTTACTGATTTTGGTTTTGTCATCATAGTTTTGAGCTTTCAACGTTTGACCTGTGATTTACTCAGGATCTGATGGTGGGAGATGAAGCAAGTGAACTGCGCTCAATGCTGGAGGTCAATTATCCAATGGAAAATGGAATCGTCAGGAACTGGGATGACATGAAGCACTTATGGGATTACACTTTCGGTCCGGAGAAGCTCAATATCAACTCGCGTGACTGCAAGATCCTCCTCACAGAGCCTCCAATGAACCCGACCAAGAACCGCGAGAAGATCATAGAGGTGTGTGGAGTCTGACCAAATCACATTTCACCTTTTAATCCATTGAAAAGTGATAAGAAGTGATGCTCTCCGTAAATTCACATAACATTTCTTGTGTTATGTTGCTATAAATTTATGTTTGTATTAGTCATCTCCAAAAGTTTTTATTTGGATCTTTTTTATTTTGGAGACATTTTAACCTGGAGAGACTTGAAAGGAAATATTTTTAAATGTTAGTCCTCAAAAATGGAAAATAGTCTCTCTATCAACTCCTAAATGAGTCCTTCAAGAACAAAAAAAGTTGTTTAAAAAAAGTTGATCCGTCTTTTTCTCGCTGTCCTTTAGGTCATGTTTGAGACATACCAGTTTACAGGCGTTTACATAGCCATCCAGGCTGTGCTAACACTCTATGCTCAAGGTAAGTTAGCCTGTTTTCAAACTTTATTATGTTTTTTAACCTCATTATATGTAAAATAATTGCTTAACATGATGATTTAAAAAAGTTTTATCTGAGCAAATTTGTCCACTTTAAGCTCATTTCAAACATCGCATTATGTATTTGTGTTGTGCGACACCCAGGCCTTTTGACAGGGGTGGTGGTGGATTCGGGCGATGGCGTCACACACATTTGTCCTGTGTACGAGGGCTTCTCTTTGCCCCATCTTACGAGGAGGCTGGACATTGCGGGACGAGACATTACACGCTATCTCATTAAGGTAGAGAAGAGTTCACTGTGCTTCATCATCTTGGTTAAAACATTAAGTATAATTTTCAACTACCTAATTCAATAAGCTAAACATATTTTTAGTAACACGTTTTTTTAAACATTTGTCATGTGCTTAAGCTGAAAAATAAGATGCACAAACGCAGCAGTCAAACACACTATCTACATAAAACAACTGAAAAACAGCACTTTAGAGTAGAAATTTTAATGTAATGTCATTTAAATTAAAGTAACTCATAAGGTTTATTTGATTCAACTTTTAAAATATTTTTTTTACAGTGGACAAATCTAGTCAGTTTTAGTTTATTAAACAAAATCGTTACATTCGTTTAAATGTAAAAACCACCGCACGCCCATCGAAAATAAATTTCCATGGGGTAATTTTTCATTTTCCATGAGTCTATGTACAAGATGTAAAACAGAGAAAAAAATAATTTAATTTCCTACAGAGGAAAAATAACCATGATCAGTTTTTGCAATTTTTGATTGAGATGCTAATGGTCTAATCTGATTTAATGATTTATGCTAAGCTAAAAGTGACCCTGTCAGACCCTGAAAACTCGATTGATTAATTCTCAACTGATAAGACTTGTAAAATGAGCCTATTTCCAAGAATAAGTGTTCCTTTAACAGTGTTCTGAACATAGCAGGAATTAAAATGTATGAACAAAATACAAAGCAAATTATAGTGACAGTTATAAGTTTAGTTTACTTTATTTGGTTACAAAGTCAATGCAAGTTAATCAGCATTACTGTAAAATGTGCAAGTATTTACCCAAAAATCATTAAAATAGAGCCCCTAATGTCAAATGACTGGTCTCTGATGAAAACTGGCTGATAATTTCAGAAAGACAGAATCTGCAGACATGTTTTGCTATTTCTGTAGAGAATTTAGTAAAAAGAAAAAAGAAAACTGCACATTTATGCAGATTTGTTTTTAGAGAATCATAACTAAAAAATCGAAATTAGAACTAAATTAAGAAACAGTTTGAAACAAATCTTTGTGCTTAACAAACAAAATGAACTATGTAGGCTAGTGGATGTCTTCAGTGAAGTGCGTACAACACCATTTCCTTATCCACAAAAGTAAAGGAGTAAAGTAAAGGGTTAAAGTATAGAGAAAGTATAGTCCAATTGGAGCAGGCTCGTTCTTTATCCTTGCACTGCAGATGCTCTGCTTGACTGTTTTCTCGCTAGTGACACATTCAGTTTGGCCACTTACGAAGTCCGCCATGTAAATAGCAATTGCACCATCTGACTCTTAACGGGAATAGGAGATGAGACTGATAGGTTTAATGCACGTTATGCTCAAAACACACCTCTAACTCATCAAGAGAATAAGCACAACCATGTTAGACCATGCGCCAGTGTGGAAATTGTATTTTTCCATCCTTAAAATAGCAAAAATGGATTCGGAAACACTTAATGCTTTTGCGCCATGCACTTTAGACTTTGCGCCTAGATTGTTAAAAAAAGAGCCCTTAACATTTAACGTTAGCAATGCAAATCCAGTTATATCCACTTATTTAGAAAACAAATCAAGTCTTTCACATAATATATCTACTAAAAAACAGAAAATATTAACTGTATTGTAAATAAATTTTATAAAAATTTCTTCAATAATATTTAAATATTATTGAATAATAATTATTCAATAATATTACTCAAAAAAAAAACTGAATAAATATAAATTTACACAAGTAAATAAATTAATGGTGAGCTAGAAATCTGTAGCTTTCTGCACGTGCAGATTCCCTGTGGGCCTGCAGATAATTACTTAATTTGATTTATTCCATTTTTAATTAGTAATATTTTTGGCAATTTTTTATATTTCATTTCTTTGCTGTCCACAGTTGCTGTTGCTGCGAGGTTACGCCTTTAACCATTCAGCAGACTTCGAGACGGTGCGCATGATGAAGGAGAATCTCTGCTATGTGGGATACAACATCGAGCAGGAGCAGAAGCTCGCTCTGGAGACCACCGTATTGGTGGAGTCCTACACGGTCAGTTTCACGCGACACTCAGAGGAGTTTCATGATCCGTTTTAGCGCAAGGCTGCTTTCTGAAAAGGTGTTAACAGCCTGCCGGGCGAAAGTATCTTTCTCGCCGAGACTTTTTGAAAGTTACGGTTCAAATGGGGCAGTATGTGAGGCAGAGGTTTTTCTGGCAGGAGCTTTTAGTGTGTGGTTTCACAGATTTCCCGCTGGGACACATTTCCAGAGTAAAATGCACCCTGGATTAGATTTACCAGCAGGGAAATTCTTCAGAGATGGAGATTCTGTCAGTGAAACTGCACACGTTGCTGGATTCCCATTGGCTGCTCCTATGTAGAAATCTGATATATGTGCAAATCACATAATAAACATTTGAGTTGATATTTGAACATTTTAAGACACTGGAAACCCTGTCTGATATAAATAAATACTATATATATTAGGGATGTAACGGTATTGTAAATATCGTCATACCGCAATATTAATTTTTTTCGATATTACCGTAGTCGCATGACTCTTTGTACTAAGACTCTTTTGTACTAAAATGGCGGCTCTATTGACACATTCCTTCCAATAGACAACGACAGGGCAGACGACATCTAATGTAAATATCTATTACTTTAAATGATTAAAATGTCAATAAAAGTCACTTTTTTTTGTACTTTTTAACGTTAAACATTGTTGGAGGAAAGATCAAGTGCACATAAGGCATTCAAAAGCATAAATAGACAGGGAGAAATACAAAATACAAACATGAATCACAAAATACAGATAACTGCTCATTGACTGCTATTTTTTACAGTGTGCATCGTTAGATTTAATTTACAAACTTTGTCATTTTTAGGGCTTTTATTCTTTTAAGCCACAATCAAAAGCATATATTTTGAAACAAGTGAGGCTGTGTGGTGTCTGTAGTCACTCAACCAGCATGTAACATCATTTCCTGCATGGCTTCAGTCTTTACAAGCTGGTTAACTGTTCATTTCCGACCTCTGGACGCTCCTCAATGGGCTCTTTATACACTCCCACACAGCCAGCAGCCGTCGCCATTTTCCCATTAGTCACCATGTGTTACACTTCAGACTTTGCTCAGTCCAGCCAGTCAAACAGGAACGTCTCATGATCAAGGCCAATTTGAAGTAACCAAGCATGTGATAAGAAAGAGACAAATGTTGACACGAGGTGTGGTTGGTTATATATACCACAGTATTTATCAGACCGGATGCTTCTCATAAATCGTAAATATTTGCTGTCCTGCTGCCACTTGAGCTGGTTTAATAATTCGGCTCACAAATCTCTTGTCTTTTATTTTATCTTCTTCTAAAATGCGGAAGTGCACCTGTCGCGATTGTCTTAGAACTTCCAGTTCAGTCGCCTATGGGAGAAATGATTAGGAATAATAAATAGCAGAAAACGGTCAAACAACTTGCTCTACAAACAAATGTTTGCATGACTATATAGACCAGGGGTGGCCAACCCTGTTCCTGGAGAGCCACCTTCCTGCAGATTTCAGTTGCTACCCTGATCAAACACACCTGAACCAATTAATTAGGACCTGAACACCGCATGATAATTACAGGCAGGTGTGTTTGATATTGGTTGCAACTGAAATCTGTAGGAAGGTGGCTCTCCAGGAACAGGGTTGGCCACCCCTGATATAGACCAAGTAGAATAATATAATAAGGAAATATCCGTTTGCAACATCAAACAGCAAAACGAGCCGTTTTTAATGTCTGAAAAATGAATGGAAGTGAATGAGACCTGAAGTCTCAAGCCAAAAAGATTCAAATGGCAGCGCCCACTCGTCGGTGAAGAATAAGGTGAATACAGCTGAAGTTCAAATTTTAATCGCCCGTGTGAATTTCTTTTTCAAATATTTCCCAAATTATGTTTAACAGCGCAAGGAAGTTTTCACAGTATTTCCTATAATATTTTTTTTCCCTCTGATTTGTTTTCAGGAAGTTGTGGTTTCAGTCATCTAAAATGTGAACAAACTGTGTAAAACAAAATGTGATTTTGAAAATACTTATGTTCGTGTGAACATGGCCTAAGATTTCCTACGTACACATATTATATTATTTTCTGAGATAACTTGATAGGATTCTCATTCTAAGGTTGTTTACACTAATGCATTTTAGTTTTACGTTTTGCTACGGTTATGCCTTCCGTCCACACTAGCCCGGAGTTTTTCAGTCCCAAAAACGAAGTGTTTTTGAAATGCTAAAGAGGCCGTTTTCATTTTAAAACGCCACTGCGCTGTGTCAGTGTGGATGGGGGGAAAATGGAGACATCTGAAAATGGAGGCATGCTGTAGATATTCGACATCTGATTGGGGCTTTTTCCTCAATATTAAGTACACCGAGTTCAGTCTTGCATCCTTCTCTTCTAAGTTCAGACTTTGCAAGTTTGATATGAAAAACTAACTAAAACTAACATGTCGGGTAAATCTTCAAAGGCAACAGTGTACTTTATAACGTCATTCACAGCACCCTGGCTACAGTACGTAGTTTCACTATCTTAATGATAAAATAAAAACATGATATAAGGAACCGCCTATTTTTATTTTGATACTCCCTTAACAGACACCGAAAATGTTGAGGTGTCATGTAGCTGAATATTTACATGACCGTCATCTTCACTGTATGCATATTTATAACAAAATTAAAGCCTGCAACATAGCTGCCTTCTTTACTTTTTGTTGAAATATACAAAACATGCCCTCTTTTTTGCTGGATATCAGTTTTAATAATCATTAATGGCCATTATAAAAGTATAACATACAATAAATTTATACAATATAGTAAATAAAGGCAAGCCATCAGTCAATATGCAGATTCAGTGTACGCGGTTACATTAATTCATATATTAGCTTATCTTTGCGCTCAACCAAAAAGCATTACCTGAGAACAAGTAATAGATCCAAAAGACCAAAGAGTCGTTAGATAGAGACAAGATGAATTTAATATCACGTTTAACAACTATAGTGAGATGAAATCCAGCGGTTTATCCTCGATGAACTTTCTGACATGCGCTGCTCTCATCTGGGGAGTTGTGTTCAAAGCACCCGCTGACATTACATGTAAAATTAGGTCATGAAATTTTACTCCAAAGTCCTGGAAAAGTGAAATTTTAGTAGTAAAACTGTATGAACCCTGTATTTGTATCTTGAGGATATCTAGAAGCTCTAAAACAGTGACAAAATTCATGTTTAGAAGATACAAAACTGATGTAAAGCTTGCAGTTCATCATTTCTGCATAAATGGATCAACTTTTTTTTTTGAACTATCCTCATACTTTGCCTCAAATCTTTTGACCAATCAAATGCTCTCTACAGTCTGACATGCCCCACCCCCTTCTATTGCTATTGCTATTTGAACCCAAGCACTCTCACTGTCAGATCTGTGATGAAAACAAAAACACTATTGGCTGTCTTTTGAAAGGGGAGGAGCTACTCTGTGTCCTGCCTTCTGTTTATGTTTCTGGTACAATTATGTCACGCATCGAAAAAAAATACATATTTTTAAGTCAAGACCTAAGATAAGAAGCTTTCACAAGTGTTTTTTTTTTTTGTTCTCTGTGGCTCCAGCTCCCTGATGGCCGGGTTATAAAGGTGGGAGGTGAGAGGTTTGAAGCCCCAGAAGCTCTGTTCCAGCCTCACCTCATAAATGTGGAAGGGGTCGGCGTGGCTGAACTTCTCTTCAACACCATTCAAGCGGCAGATATTGACACCAGGTCAGCCTCCACCACTATTCCTACATTTTCTGAAAAGTTCCTTCCTCCAATAAAAGTCGTGCCTCATTATGTAACATTCAAATAAACAAATGAACACTTAGTTCTTGGGGTAGGCGATTTGATAATCTGATTATCTATGATGTATTATTTAGCGGTTGTTATCTCAGAATAACATACCTTGGAATGTCGCAACTGACCAATCATAAATGAGGATCCTACTTATGAGTCACATTACACTGCCTATCAATCAACCCTGCGGTTTCTGTGAACCTTGCGATGTGTGTTTTCATCAGTGCTGTCTCTGTTCCTCAGGGCTGAGTTCTACAAACACATCGTTCTGTCAGGAGGATCCACCATGTATCCTGGCCTGCCGTCTCGACTGGAGAGGGAACTTAAACAGCTTTATCTAGAGCGGGTACTGAAGGGTGATGTTGACAAGCTCTCAGTAAGTTTGCTCAATCAATACACGTGTAAATGTGTCATCCAACAAACACCAGTAGACAAAAATAGTTACGTTTGCAATGAAGTTAAGCAGCTTCGTTATAAGTGGACATAGAGACTATTCACAGTGATTTGATGTATTTTCTTATGGGAGTTTAAAGGGGACCTATTAGGCTGCTTTTTAGAAGATGTAAAATAAGTCTTGAGTGTCCCTAGAGGTGTGTATGTTAAGTTTCAGCTCAAAATACCCCACAAAAAATGTTTTAAATCTCTCTGAAACTAACCCTTTTAGGCTTTGATCCAAAATGTGCTGTTTAGGTGACTGTCGCTTTAAGATTTGAGATTGTCCTACTTTCAAAAGAGGGTGGGGCTACAAATGCCTGTGTGTCAGCATAGTGGCAGATTCAAAAAGGATTAATGTTATCTTATTATTATAAGCTTTTCACTAAGGGCTGTCTATACTAATGAGGTAGAGATGGTCACTAATGGGCAGGGCTTCCCCCGTCTGATGACAGGTACAAAGGGAAAACATCAATCAAAATGTTTCTGCAGACTGTTTTATTAAGTGTGATCATAAAAACAGAATACATTTATTTTTATCATTTGAGGCTGGCTATCTTCGCACACTGTTGCCATACAACTGTATTAATTTGCATAATAGCTCCACTTTAAATGTAGATACACACAGTTTCTTATGGATTTTAAACCTGTAAAGTCTGATTTATGAAAAGTAAGTTTATTAAAGAAATAAAAAAAAGATGTTTGGTTAATTATCGATACATTGGGCTGTTATATAGGAGTGTGCAAAATTGCCACATTATGGTTTCTTCATGTTTTCGGGAAAAAACATTTTTCAGTAAGGATTAGTGTTGTCACGATAATGGAATTTCTAACTTTGATACAATACCTTGAAAAATATTGATATTCGATACATTTTTAGATTTAAATAAATAAATTAAATATTATAAATATTATAAAATAATGTAATGGAGACGCAGTGGGTAGCACGTTCGCCTCACAGCAAGAAGGTCGCTGGTTCGATCCTCGGCTCAGTTGGCGTTTCTGTGTGGATGTTCTCCCTGCGTAAAAACTTGCTGGATAAGTTAACGGTTCATTCCGCTGTGGCGACCCCGGATTAATAAAGGGACTAAGCCGACAAGAAAATGAATGAATAATGTAATATAAGTAATATATTATAAATGTAAATAATAAATTGATTTGGTTCAGCTTTTGCCAGTTTTGCCTCCAGATTCGCCAATGTTTTTCCTCCGCCGTTTCATTGACGCATATTATCGAGAAAAAAAAATGTCCAAAATGTAATTGAACCGATTAGAGTTCCTAGTTTGTCTTGCTATTTAAAAAAACAAAACAAAGCATCAAAAACATAATGTCGCATGATGTGATCACACTCACACACTCAACTGAATCATGTTCGATCAAATAAATCAAACCACTGATGTAAAATGAGCTGAAAAACACAATTCTTGAGATTTTTTTAGGACAACTTAATTGTTTTAAGTTCAATTAACATGATTTTGCAAAAAAATAATTAGGTTAAACTAATCTATTTGTGTTTAGACCTGCCTTTTTTTAATGGTGCACAAAACAAAACGCTACTTTGAAAGTTAAATAGTTTTATTTATACTTGATGTACTATTTTAGCTTTCTTCAAAATATCTTCTTTTGTGTTCAATTGATTTGTTCAACAGAGGAAAGGGACTCCTAGAGCTTTGAAACAAATAAAGGTGTAGGACATTATGAAAGAAGTTTCATTTTTTTGGTCAAACTACCCTTTCAAAAAGGCTTAGTGGTTAGCACTGTCGCCTCACAGCAAAAAGGTCACTGGTTTGAGTCCCGAATGGATCAGTTGGTGTTTTTATGTGGAGTTTGCATGTTTTCCCTGTGTTGGTGTGGGTTTCCTTCGGGTGCTCCAGTTTCCCCCACAGTCAAAAGACATGCGGTACAGGTGAATTGAATAAACTAAACTGACCGTAGTGTATGTGTGTGAATGTGAGTGTGTATGTGTGTTTCCTAGTACTGGGTTGCAGCTGGAAGGCCATTCACTGCGTAAAACATATGCTGGATAAGTTGACGATTCATTCTGCTGTGGCAACCCCTGATTAATAAAGGGACTAAGCCAGGGGTCACCAATCTCGGTCCTGGAGGGCCGGTGATCACTTTAGCTCCAACTTGCCTCAACACACCTGCCTGGATGTTTCAAGTTTACCTAGTAAGACCTCGATTAGGGTTGGAGCTAAAATTTGCAGGACACCGGCCCTCTAGGAACAATTTTGGTGACCCCTGGACTAAGCCGAAGGAAAATGAATGAATATCCCTTTAAAAAGCATGCAGATGTGTTGTAATGTCTCCTGAACACCAGCAGGTGGAGCCGCTCATGCGCTGGTAAACAGTGTAAAACATCCCCGATTATACACACACACACACACACACACACACACACACACACAGACTGCCCAGCTGAGCTCCATCTCATTTAAAACCTGGCCATTGGCCTGGAAAAGCATTTTGGGGAGCCTCAGAGTGGGCCGCATGTCAGGCCGCTATATATAGATGATCAATTACAGATGGCATGTCTGATACGGTCGAGCGGCGTGTCTGTCTGCTTGCGCTAAAACTGTGTTTAAGGAAAATTAAAAAGCAATCAACTTTTTTCACAGAGGCATCCATGAGATCCTTTCAGCCACCTGTTTATAGTCCGTTCTGGGTTTGAGAGCGGATGAACACCCATACACCACCGCACACCTCATTATTCTCCTGTTTGGTTTGACGCTCAATTCCCGACCAGACAGTGTGCTTTTTATGAGCCTACATATTAAAGAGATCCATTGAAAGCTTTTACTGGGATGTTTTTTTGGAAGGATTGTGAGGTTTGTGTAGCAAACTGTTTTTTTATTGTTGTAAAAGTGTGACGTTAAAGGTTCCATGAAATTAAAATAAAGGTATTTAGATGGTAGTGTACGTTTGTTAGTGTTTAGGATATCTATAAGCTTGGTGTACTCCAAAATACATGTTTAGAAGATATAAACCTGATATAAACATCTAATGCTTGCTGTTTGTCACTTCAGCCTATCAATGATTTTATTTTCACGTCACCTCATACTTCAGTTCCTCATCAAATATTCAGACCAATCAAATGCTCTCTAATATCTGACAAGCCCCGCCCCCTTCAAGAACCTTGTTATTTTCTTTTCATTTGATACGCTTGAGCTCAACCACTCTCACTAGCAGAAATGTGATAAAACAAAACACCATTGCCTGTATTTTAAAAGGGGAGGGGCTACACTATGTCCCACCCACTTTTTGTGTATTGGTTGAGATTATGTCAAACATTGAGTAAAAATGATTATTTCAAAGCACTTCACTGGACCTATAAGACAAGAGTTGTGATATCTTAAAATTAAAAATGATGAACAGTTTATACAGTATCTGATGGAAACGTTGAGTTATGGGAGCAAAAGTCAGGATTATGAGATATAAACTTTTTGTGAACATCTTGTGGTGTTAACTAAACATCTTAAGGGAAAAAAGTAGAGATTATGAATTATATAGTCACAATTGAGAGGCAAATTTTTAAAAATATGTCAAAGAAAGAATAAAAAAACTATCTTAAAAGTCTATTTTCAGTTACTAGTTTTTGTTTTAGTTACTTTAATTTTGGTCGTTTTAGTTAAGGAAAACAAAACACTGTAGTTTTGCCTTAAGATTGAAATTTTTTTTTTTCTCTTCGGCATTTTATTGTATCTTGAAAATGAAAACATCTGTGGAAAAAACAGAAAGATATAATCTCAAAGTGTAATTTTATATTTATTTTGCATTTTAGGAATCTTTATTTCCCATTTGTGAAATCTTTTTTTCTCATAATTGTTACTTTATTAATATTGTATGGCCATTTAACAATTCTGAATATATTTCCTGCTGTTCTGAATTCACAATTTCACAGTTGCGGGGTTTACAAATTAAGTTTAAGTCTAAGTCTATTATAGTTTACCTTTTGCTATTTATTTTGTTTAATTATTTAATAATTTTTTATATATATATATATTTCAATTTATTTAAAAAAATATATATTTTTAATAAATTTAATTTAATGTTGTTTTTTTCCAATTTATTTTATCTATCATAGTTTACCTTTCGCTATTTTGTTTTTATTATTTTATTATTTTTTTATTTTATTTTTTATTATTTTATACTTATTTTTGTTCTATTTTTCATTTAGTTTTAGGGTTGCAGGGTTTACCAATTTAGTTAGTCTATAATAGTTTACCTTTTGCTATTTATTTTATTTTATCTATTTACTTATTTTTATTTTATATTATTTTATTTTTTAATTAAAATTTTTTATTGAATTTTTAATTAAATTTGATTTTTTATTCTAATTTTCATTTAGTTTTTTTATTTTATTATTTACTCATTTTTTATTTTATTTATTTATTTATTTTATATATTTTGTATTTTATTTATTTTATGTTATTTTATTTTATTTTACTTTTTATTATTTTATTTTATATATTTGCTTATTTATTTTATAATTATTTTTATTTTAATTTAATTATTTTATTTTATTTATTATTTTATTTTATTTACTGTCCAAACTGAGATATGTACAATAGTCATAGCCATCCTATGAAGTTTGAATCGTTTTTCAAATATTTCCCAAATTATGTTGAAAATTATTATGAGATTTTTTTTCAACACATTTCTAATTATAATCATCATGATTAATTTTGCCTTGATGAGAATACATTTTTACAAGATATTTTGCAAGATACTAGTATTCAGCTTAAAAGTATCATTTAAAGGCAAGTTCTGTAGCCAATCAAAAAAATAAATAAAGAGGCTTATAATATTGACCTTAACAGGATTTATTATTAAATAAAAAATACACGTTTGAAAAAGAAGAAATATTTGAAAAATAATAAAATGTGATAATTTGTTTGTTTGTTTGTTTATTTAATTACTTAATTAGTTTTTTTTATTTACAGCTGGCAATTGTAAGCATTTAATTTAAGCATTTTGTAGTGTGTGGGTCAGTGTCAGTGCTCTTCCACTCCCCTGACAACATCTATTTAATATTCCCATAGAAATTCAAGATCCGCATCGAAGACCCTCCCCGCCGCAAGCACATGGTGTTTCTGGGCGGAGCAGTTCTGGCCGACATCATGAAGGACAAGGACAACTTCTGGCTCACCCGGGAAGAGTATCAGGAGAAGGGTGTGCGGGTTCTGGAGAAGCTGGGAGTCACCGTCAGATAGAACACCAGCTCATCACCAGTCGCTTTTGTTCAGCCTGTCAATCCTGTCATCAGGTGTGGATTTTATGGGGTTCGGTTATGAAAGGAACTGGGCAGGGGTTGTGTGTGTTTTTATGTGTTGCTAAAGCATCTGTTTACTGATTACATTTGTGGGTCATTCTTATCATTTTTAGTCATCTTTAAAAACAAATACTGTGCAATTTTGATATATATACAGTTGAAGTCGAAATAATTTGCCCTCCTTTAAAATGCTCAAATATTTCACTAGTGTTGTTCTTTTAACACACTTTTAAATATAAAAGTTGTAATAATGTATTCCTAATAACTCATTTCTTTTGTGTTTTGACATGATGAAGGTACTTTATATTTTACAGGTTTGTTTGCAAGATGCTAGCGTTCAGCTTAAAGTGCAATTTAAAGGCTTCACTGGCTAATAACTATTGACCTTAAAATTGTTGTTAAAAGAATGTAAATTCCTGTTAAACTGAGCAATATAAGACTTATAAGTCATAAAAAAATATATAGAGAGAATACTGTGAAAAAAAAATTGTATCTGTTGGCAAATATTTGAAAAAGAATACCAATTTCACAGGCGGACTAATTATTTTGCCTTTAAATATATTGACAAAATAAATGTATATGAAACCATAATGATTAGCCCTCCTTTGAAATTGGTATAGGCAAAGCAGTGGCGCAGTAGGTAGTGCTGTCGCCTCACAGCAAGAAGGTCGCTGGGTCACTGGTTTTAGCCTCGGCTTAGTTGGCGTTTCTGTGTGGAGTTTGCATGTTCTCCCTGCCTTCGTGTGGGTTTCCTCCGGGTGCTCCGGTTTCCCCCGCAGTCCAAAGACATGCTGTACAGGTGAATTGGGTAGGCTAAATTGTTCGTAGTGTATGAGTGTGTGTGTGAATGTGTGTGTGGATGTTTCCCAGAGATGGATTGCGGCTGGAATTGCATCCGCTGCATAAAACTTGCTAGATAAGTTGGCGGTTCATTCCGCTGTGGCGACCCGGGATTAATAAAGGGACTAAGCCGACAAGAAAATGAATGAATTAAATTGGTATTCTTTTTTAAGTATATTTTTCTTTTTTTGTTTTTAAAGATGCTGATTCTGCTCACGAAAACTGCATTTATTTGATCTAAAATATCATAAAAACTGTATAATTGTGAATAATTATTTTAATTTGAAAAAACTGTTTTCTTATTGAATGCTGTTTTGAAAATCATTGCTGAATTTTCTCCAGTGGTCAGTAGCTGGGTTTCCATCATAAGTGAATCTTTACAAAGTTCGAAAAAAGAAAAAGAAATGGCTTTTAAAATCCAGCTGTTAAACTCAAAACTTTAAAAGCTTTATTTTAACAATCTAGGCGGAAAGTCTTACCGTACGTTCACACCGAAAGCGGCGAGAGCGTCCAAGGTTGCTCTGGCCGCCCTGGCGACAACGCTCTCTGCCTTCAGCTCCGGCGGCAATAGCGTCAAAACTCGCTACATTGATCTCATATTTAAAGGAGCCGTTGCAGCATATCAGTTACATTCCTGCATAAAACATGTTTCTAGCGTGGAAATGTTGCGCACATCTTATCAAATTCATACAACAATGGAAGATCAAGTTGCGTATGGTGTGGCTTTGCTCTATTTATCCAATACGTGTCCATATGTCTGAAATATCCTGAAGCAGCAGTACTGTTTTGTACTGTCACATCGCGTGAGATTCCCGCTTTTTTAAGATAAATTTATATAACATTTATGAACATCAGTAACTCGCCAGTAACTTATTTAATGTATGTTCCTGTAGGAAAAAATTGTAAATAATTGGAAATCCGGCGACCGCAATAATCAAACCCTTGGGAACAACTGTGGTCGGAACCAAAGTTCACAGGTCTGTGTTCTCTGAACTGCTATCAAGCGATGGACGTCTTCATTCTGATTGGTTGCCGCTGAACCTCGTCATAGCTCATTACCATAAAGTTGACTTCATTTCAACTCTCCTCGACGCTCACGCCGGCGAAGACGCGCCGCGCTGCTCCTCGCCGCCGGCTCTCATTGAAAATGAATGACTTCTGGCTACTTTGACGCTCTCGCCGCTTTCGGTGTGAACGTACGGTTAAGCACATTGTGCAAAAGCATTAATCCAAATCCACTTTTGGTATTTTAAGAATGGAAAAATACAGTCTGCGCCCCAGCGCATGGTCTAACAGGGTTGTGCTTATTCTCTTAATGAGTTCTGGGTGTGTTTTGAGCATAACGTGCATTAAACCAATCAGAGTCTCGTCTCCCATTTCCTTTAAGAGTCAGTTGCGTTGCGCCATGGCGCATCTGCTATTTACATGGCGGAGTTCGTAAGTGGAAAAACTGAACGCGTCACTAGCAAGAAAACAGTTAAACAGCATCTGCAGCGTGAGGATAAAGAACGAGCCTCCTCCATTCAACCTCTTACTGTTTACTCTGCTTTACTCCTTTACTTTCCTGGATAAAGAAACGCTGTTGTATGCACTCCACCGAAGACCTCTATTAGCCTACATATTTGATTTAGTTTGTTAAGCACAAAGATTTGTTTAAAAACTATTTCTAAATTCAGTTCTAATTTCCAGCAAATAAATAAATGAACAATAATAACGAACTTGCTCTGTTAAGCATCATTTGGGAAATATTTGAAAACGAAAACAAAAATTCACAGGAGGGCTCATGATTATGGCTTAAACTTTAACTGTATATATACACTTTGTACCAAGCAATATTTTATCCAGTATTACAGTAGTGCATGACAGGAATGACCCAGTCAGTGATGAACAGTGGAAATATGTAACAGCCAAGCTCACAGTTGGTTCTGACAGACACTATCATCACTTCTATATTACCTTGAAGGCTAAATTTAAGCTGCAAGTCATGACGGCTTATGTTGTACTGTATGTAATTCCGGTGACAAATGCATCATTGTCAGTGTGTAATGTAACGGCGGGAATTAAAGCTGAATGGTTTATGGAAGCTTATTTCTGCCATGGGATTAAAAAAAAAAGTTAATAAGTTAGTTGCAATAGTTTTTTTTCTTCAGTTTTTTAGAATTGTTATATAATAATTCTTATATAAAACTTGGAATGCTTAAAAGAAAAGAGAATTGTGGGATATAAGCTGAAAATTGATAGGTAAACAGAATACTGAGACAAAATGTAGAATATTGAGATATAAACTTAAAATTGACAGATAAAAGTCTTAGAATAATGAGACAAAATGCAGTATAAGTAAACTGAAAATAATTGAGATATAAAAACTTATAACAATGAGAAAATGTTTAAAATAATGAGATATGGACACAACATTGAGAGATAAAATATGCAATACTGATCCTAAATGTTGAAAAGATTTATATAAACTCCAATTTGGGAGATAAAAACTTATAACAGTGAGAAAAAATGTAAAATAAGATATGAACACAAAATTGAGGGATAAAGACTCAGAATAATGAAATATAAATTGAGAATTTAAAGATAAAACATGAAATACTGATAAATTTTTTTTAAATTAGATATAAATCTTAAAATTGTGAGATAAAGACTCAGAATAATGAGAAAAATGCTAAATAATCAGATTTAAACAAAATAAAATGAGATAAACTCAAATTTGAAAGATCAAAACAAAATACTGATAACATTTTATAAAAAATTTTGGATAAGTCGAAATTAAGTTATAAACAGTCAGAATACTGAGAAAAATGCAGAATAATGAAATATAAACTGAAAATTCAGAGATAAAACAAAATACTAATAAAAATGTTGAACATTTTTATATAAAGTCAAAATTGAGACATGACAACTAGGAAGAATAAGAAAATAATGAATAATAATGAAATATAAGATAAAAAATTAAGAGATAAATCACAAAATACTGATAAAAATGTTGGAAAATTACATATAAACTCAATTTTGGCATAAAAACTCAGAATAATGAGAAAAAATAAAAATGATGAAATAAGATTAAAACATGAAATACTGATAAATTAGATATAATCTCAAAATTGAGAGAAAAAGAGTTCGAATAACAAGATAAAATGCAGAAAAATTGGATATAAACTCAAAATTAAGAGAAAAAAACTCAAAATAATGAGGAAAAATTAGAGTAATGAGAAATAAACTCAGAATTGAGAGATAAAGATTAGATTTATGAGAAAAAATAGACTGCAGAATAATGACATTTATACTGAAAATTGAGAGATAAAACACAAAAAACTGATAAAAATTGTTCACAGGTGAGATATACTCAAAATGAAGAGCTAAAGACTAGGAATGATGAGGGAAAAGATGCAAATAAAAAATATTCTGACTTTAAGTTGGAAGTCTTTGAAATTGTGACTTAAAAATTAATTAATTTTTTGATTCTGTGGCTGAAACAAGTTTTCACAGATCTCTGCCAGTGTTACGACAACAGAAACTGAGCAACCAAAAACATAGTCTGGTTCTGTTGATTCCAGAGCTTTAGCCCTGTAGCATTTGTCTGTCTGTTGTTTCCCTGTTAGCATGTCATGTGCTTGTCCACAATAACAAGAGCGACTAGCATTATTGCTGTGTTTTTTATTCTTTTTTAAGGGATTTGAGAGATTGGACTGAGAGTCTTTGGCATTTGTATTAATGTATTTATCAGTGAAGCCAGCGTTCTGCTGTCAGGCTGAATTTAAAATAGTTTTAGCACATTATAATATACCACGGTTAAGTTTGTGTTGCTTTAATCCACTCAGCGGCCACTTTATTAGGTACACCTGTCTATTTTTAATGTTCACGCTAGGGATGGGAAGATTAACCGATATGTATCGATACGCGGTCATGCGCGTGCACGATGCGAGTGCATCGGTTGAGCAGCAGAGGATGAATGAAATTTTGGAAGCAAATCGAGATGCATCGGTTTTTGCGAGATGCATCGGTTTTTCCGAGATACAGCTTATATTTTTAATATAGAATGTATTTTTTATTTATTAACAAGTGTTGTTAACCTGTTTTTGGCGCATAATTTAATCGACCTACATAAAGTAAGCCTTAGCAACGGATTTGCGGATGTGCACACACTACAACTCAATGTATCAGGTGTGCGGATGAAGCTAGTGGAGCGCCCTCAGAAAGCGCGAGAAGCAAAACAAACATTTTATTCCCCACTGAGTTTTAAATCTAAAGTATGGCAACATTATGGATTTAAGGATGGACGACATGACAGGACAGATGCAATCTGCAAAATGTGCCGCGCATCTGTAAAATACGCGGGCAGTACGACTAATCTGATATCTCACTTGAAGCGGCGCCACGGTGTTGTTGTGAAAGCATCTTCCAGTGTT